TGAAGTTGTTTTTTTTATATCTATGGTGTTTTGTGTTTAGTGTAGTGATTAATTATGTGATCTAAAGCGCAATACAAAACACATTCCCCACACTATGAGCTTCTTATACTCGTATGGGATACAGCGCTATATAAATGCCATCTTATTATTATTCTATAATATTTCAAAGCAAACTCTATTGTGGTTTAAATGTCTTGCTCTATTCTCCTTCCGTTCCTATTTTGACCTACATAATGTAGATTAAGTTTCTTTTCAAAAACTTTAATTCATACGAATCGCTTTAGAATAATATCAAACATTTTCATGAATGCCTCCGACGGTGTCAGAATAATTGCACAGACGGTTTTACACGTATAAAATATATGCTTCAAATATGCAAATTTCCATTACACAAACATAAAGCTGTCAAATACTCACAATCAAGGGGTTGCCTACTGATCGCCTGTCCAGTTTTATTTTTATAATGAAAATATCCAAAAAAGAAACTCTTGCATTGTCCTCGAGAAAGTTACGTGAACGCGTCTAGGGAATGTAAGAACTGGAAATCCAAGGCGGACAAGTTATACAAAAGAGCGCAACAGGAAACCACGGAAGATCTTCGTACTATTCTCATTTCGTCGATTTCTCTGCCCGGCCTCACTTCATAACGCAGTGCACGCGGGAGCGAGACGACAACGCGGGGGCTCTTGGTAGCGGTGCGCACCACACCGCACTCCTCCCGCACCGCACCGCACCGCACCACGCCACGGCGCGCTCCGGCGACCCAGAGAGAAACGTACAGACGTGAAACGCCTCGCTTGCCCTCCGTTCGAGAAGTTCGGGAGTAGGGGGAGGGGGGAGGAAGGGAATATGAGGTAGGCCTGTCACTCATCTTTCAGTATTATCATCGGTTTCACGAAAGCATGACAGGAAAGAACTATAAAGGTCTACGGCCGCTATGTTATCCTGTCCTCGCTCTCTTGTTCCCTGATTGATTCAACTATCTATCATTTCAACCACAGAAATTTATTTGACAAGCTATGTATAAGGCTGGATGTTTGTGGTTTTTACACCACAACCGACGCTTGAAATCATTAAAAACAAGAACCTCTGTGTGTATTGTTTAAAAGCTTGAATCGTCATAGCATGTTTCTTTGAGGTAAGAGGAGTTCTTTTCTATTATATCCCGCAAAAAAAGCTGCAAGGCTACCGTCACTTGCTTCACACATCCCCCTACCAAGCTACACACCACAACACACATACACACACAAACGCACACAGGTACACACGCACACACACACGAGCACACGCGCGTATGCACGACGCATACACGCGCATACATACACCGGCATACACGCACGCACACACTCATACACATAATATACACACAAACACACGCACGCATGCACGAACGCACGCACGAACACAAGTACACGCATACACACATACAAATACAAACACACACACACACACACACACACACACACACACACACACCGCGCGTGCGCGCCTTGCTGAGGAAAAAATAAGTATAAGAAACGTAATCATTTTCTCACCGTTAAAACCACAATCTTCTCTTCCTCACAACTTTACAAATGCCGTTACAAACACAACAACCACCGTCCCTATCACCATCACAACAACGCCATATCTGTCAACACCATTGCAACCACAATATCCTGTTTCAACCGCCAAACTCATCTCTACCTGTTACGACCTTCACAACCACAACCTACAGCCATCATCATTACCATCTTATTCATACATATAACTTTCTTTTCTTAGCGAAATCCCCGTCAACAAAACAGTCACTTGTACACCTTTGTTAAAACCCCTATCCAATCACAACCATGGACAAAAAAATCGTACACGTTCTAAACCAGCATCACTTCCTAAGCACAGTTATATATTTGTAAAAGTTCATCACTTTGGTCGCCTAAAACTTCCGAACCACCTAACTTTCGAAATTGAAAAAATTAACGGTGGTTCAGAATCATTTAAAGGGTACACAGTTATATTAAGGAGTCCGACGTCACTGTAGTTTAATTTTCAGATTTTTTGCTAGTTTCGTTTAGATCCACATCTATGTTTAGATCTAATCTTGGTAAAGTCCTTCTTCTAGGCTTCCGGTTACAAGCAGTGCGCATTGGTTTCACATTGACTTGACGATCGATTCCTTTGAGTCCGTTCATCGAACGGGTACCCTGCTAGTAATAATATACTGTCCACCCTTCAATCATAATATACTTTGTACCACGCAAACATATTCTTTGTAACATGCAATTTCACACTTTCCAACCTCCCACATCATCATTACAGGCACTATCATACACCCCCAACAGCATCATCAGCACAGCCATAAAACAAAATAACCACCTTTTCCCATCACAATCGCCACCACCACCACCACCACCACCATTACAACCACCACTGAAACAACCACACCACCCCCTCGTCCCATCACAACCACCACAACCACCGTCACAAGCAGAAGCATCACCACCTCTTCCAATCACCACAGCACTACCACCACCACCACCATCACAAGCAGAAGCATCACCACCTCTTCCAATCACCACAGCACTACCACCACCACCATCACCACCATCACAACCACCACAACCACCATCACAAGCAGAAGCATCACCACCTCTTCCAATCACCACACCACTACCACCACCACCACCACCATCACCAGCACAACAACTAAAACCACCACCACCATAACCACCACCTGACCCTAGCACAATCACCTCCAGCACAACCACCACCTCGTTCATTCACAACCACCGCCAGCACCATCACCACCACCAATACCACCACCACAACCATCACCCCATCCTACAGCAGTCACCTCCAGCAGCACCACCATCACTACAACTCCACCACCACCTTGTCCTATCACAACCACCAGCACCACAACAACAACCACCACCAGTCCACCCCGTCCTATCACTACCACCAGCACCACCATCACCACCACAACCACCACCACAACCACCACCCAGTCTTACAGCGGTCACCTCGGGCCCCGCCTACAACAGAGCCACAGATGACGCAGACAAGAGTCCCCGTGCTGGTGACACGTCGAAAATTAACCCGGAGATTGCCGGAGACTTGGATCAAACGACTGTGCATCATAAATAACTCGTTATCAAAGAATATTGGAACCGAGGCCTGTCGAGGGAACACCCTCCCGCTCCTTTGTAGTGGAAATGCGGACATCGGGACTTTCCGCTGTGGGCAAAGTGGCCCCATAAATTAGCGGCCGGCCTGAGGGGAAGGACCCAAGTTTTTAACATACGAAGACGAATACAATCTAGGAGCATCCGAGAGTAATTGCGTTATTACAGCAGGTAAAGGTTTTGCCTATGCTTTACAAACTTACAAATTCACACACACACACACACACACACACACACACACACACACACACACACACACACACACACACACACACACATGCTTGCGCGTGCAAAAGCAATATTCATGATTATTTTCCGCCTCCAAGAGTAGTTGCAAAATGAATCAGAAAAAGTAACCAGTCAACGGGGTTTTTAAAATAAAAAGTGAAGGACGGTAGTCATTTTTTTTCGTTCAAATAAGTACAATTTGTTGTATTATGGACGATGAACGGTTTGTGGGAGAGTGTGAACACTCATTAAGAACTCGTGAAGATAGTCCGGTAAGCGCGTTCGGGTGTTATGCTTTCAACAAGAAGGATTACGTTTTCAGCATGAAAAAAAAAAACCCACTCAAAATCATGTTGGTTTCCGGACTTGCAATTTTTTTTCGATGAATATACATGTACTCGTCGGTGCTGACAACTGAATATTATATTATACAACTCACGAGTTGAGTCAATTTTCTGAAAATTTGTGTACGTCTCAGATCTTTGAACTGGAAGGTTGAACAGACGACAAACGATCTTCGACTCCTTAATGTGACTGTAATATTCAACTAGAATAAGAACTCCACGAAAGTGGACGCCGATATGAGTTTATGAATGACTTTTTATTGTACCCTGTCGTACTCTTAATCCGCTTGGCTATCTTGAAATATTGGCTCATAACTTGAGATTTTTCTATTCAATTTGGCTGGATTTGTCTGATTGTAGAAGTTCACGTTCATGTTTGTTCGTGTGCATAGAGGGTATTTGCAGGAGTTTGAAAGCACGTTGTTGTCATTGTTGTTTGTTTTTCTGGTGTGTTTTTTTTTTTTTTTTTTTTTTTTTTTTTTTTTTTTTTTGGGGGGGGGGTTGTTATGGATTTTCTTTTAGGGGGGTGCTGGGTGGGAGTTGATTTGTTTTGTTTAGTTTAGTTTTGCTTTGTGTTGCTTTGTTTAGCTTTATTTTGTTTTATTTTGTCCGTTAAACGATGTACGTGATAAGAAGTATACATTTACATTGAGGATTTTATGCAAGTGGGAAGGCAAGACGCTTCATTTTTTTTTTCACCAGTCAAGATCTGCAGTATTAGAGTTGTGTTCCGTTTTGTCTTTCTAAAAAATATTCGAGCGTAAGTTCGTGCTCAAGAAAGGCCCTTCTAATAATCTCTCGCAAAGAAATGCGATTTAGCAAGACATGCACAGCGATCAAACGGTACGCAGTCTGAAACAAATAAGTGACACTGATCCAGTTACTTATGTTTATTGCCGGTCAGGTGCTATAAAATATCACACAATCTACAGCATTTTGACCTTCAAAACGCCAGAAAACGGATTAGTATTGTAAGACACAGAAACATGAATGGAAGATCTCAGGACACAGATGGCAGTATATCAAACATAAGACAGGATCAAATCACAGCCGGGCAAATTAGAGACAAGGGCGAAAACTCGGGTAATTGCTGCACGTCGCAAGTTTATATGATCTCAGAGAAGATTTTTTTTTTTATTGAAGATCAATGACACCGTAAGCCCGACTATAAAAGTAAATGAATGGATAAGTGTCACTCGTTCGTTTGTGAGCGCATCTGGGAAGGAACAAAATATTCTAGTAAGCTCGAAGCGGACACCAGAATGTTCATTGTTTCATAGGTAAACCTGTTTTAAAAAGTGACTCCAAAAACAAAAGAGGGACTTTGACGAGACAACAAAAATAAACTTTAATCAGTTGAAGTTTCAGTATCACTGGAATGTTTTCAACATGAGTCTTTGTTTTACAAACCCTCGAAAGTGGGTGTTTATTCTTTGACAGGACCGAAATACATGACAGGGCTCTGTAGATAAGCATACTCACAGATAGATAGATAGATAGATAGATAGATAGATAGATAGATAGATAGATAGATAGATAGATAGATAGATAGATAGATAGATAGATAGATAGATA